CCAATCTGTCATCCCTGTAATCCGCCCTCCAGGACATTCCTCAATCTTTACTCTCTTATTTAAACTTTCTGCCTCAATAAAATTTGTCTGACTTATCAACAAACACTTGCTACGGTCGCTGGGGGCACGACCAACTACAGGCAATCACTAATAACTGGGCAAAATTGTGCTTACCAATAAATGTCTCTTGCGAGGGCACTCACTTGATGACGCTTGACCAGGGCTCTCCCACGGCTGCCCACGAAAATGTTTCTGTGCGGCTTCACAACTCTTCCTGCCTTCCAGGACTTGAGCCCACACATTCCCAGCTTGATTCCACAGCTGAAACGTCTGCATACTTCCTTCCTCTTGAAGGTATATCAACTATTGGGACTAAAAGCTCTAAAAAGAACTTTTTTGTTAGAATTATTAATCTTACTTTTTCGGTCATATTTAACAACATATATATACTCTTAATGCACTTAAGGAATGCACTTAAGGAGTAGGTTGTGGAAGCAAATTCTATTCATAATTTAAAAACTAGTTATGATAGGGAAATAGGACCGGAGTTATTGCTGTAAACAACCAATGGCTCGAAAGGTGAGATCCAAGAGTCAATGCTCGATTCTGCAGACACAAATAGAAGAGTCCAAATAGGTTAGTACTCACATGCACACTGAGTAATAGTGAAGGTAAACTCGGTACATAGAGTCCTGAAACACTACGGTAATGTAAATGTGAGATGCAGCTCCTGGCATCTCTACCGCCTAATCACTTGGACTGGACGGTAAAGCGACGGTCTCGCCTCATGAAGGTCGGCGTTCAATCCCCGACCGTCCAAGTGGTTGGTCAGAATTCCTCCCCCCCCCCCTCCGTCCCTGACCCTTTCCAACTGCTATATAGTCATAATGGCGTGGCGCTTTCTCCTGATTGCTTCTGTCTTAGCAACAGATCACTGTAAAAGTAAATATACATTTAGGAGAGCAGAGAGAGAGAGCATTTCGGAGAGACAGGTGAATGTGCAGGCGCATGCACCAGCACATTAAACTCTCTTAATTAGTGATGTGTTTCCTGCAGCAGACGTTAGACTTACTCGAACCTTCCATCATAGAACACTTGGTAAAATATTGTTATCAGAACCTTTACAAATTTCAGCACTCGAGACAAAACCCTCAAACCAGAGGTGACTCAGTACCTTGCTGTTACGGTATCGCCTCCTTCATTGGTGTATGGAGTGGCGATTTCGGCGCCATCTATGGGTCGGCACCTCAGTTCCCCGACATTGGACGTGATGTGGACAACGCCATCTGTTGGCGGTGGTGTGGCAGCAATCAATGGCTCCTGTTTCCTACCCTAGTTAGAAAGAGAGGTCGATGTGAATGACCTCTGGTGGGTGACGTGTCACGATCAGCGCCATCTAGGTTGTGGCAACAGTCATAATGTCAACTCCCTGGTGAATGAGTGTTACCTCATGGTTTCCCTAGTGTCCTGTCCATCTCATTAATGACGTTTTTTGTCACAGAAGTGTCGTGTGGAGGAAGTTGTACTGAGGAAGGCAGGTTACCTTGGGCAGTCCACGGACTCTTAACTTGGTCCTGCAAGAAGATTAAGGAAGCCACCGTCGATCTGAGCAGTGTGTTAGCTGCTAAATATATGCAGTGTTAGTGTAGATCGGCGTACCCGGGATTGGCTTGGAAGAGTTGCGGACGACAGTACAGTGCCAATTGTGAAGTGCTGCCAGCTAGCTGCTAGAGGCTTCTGACAGAGTGTTCGCTACCCCTGTATATGGTTACTTGAGACCCCTGTCAGCGTGTTGTTGAGGTCCTCTGCCAGTGAGTAGCTAAAGAGGCACCTCGCGATACTGTGTCGGTGGACTGGCCCGTGTAAAAGGTGAATTCGCCAGTGTTTGCCGGTACGAGTGGACAAGGTCCTGGACGGTGGAAACACTAACAAACGAACACTACAAACGCAGGTGTGAACACAGGTGTGTTGGTGAACACTACAAACGCAGTTGTGTACTGCGTGAAAGTGACAGTATTGTATATAAGTGTAGAAATATTCTATTTTTATATTTAATAGTGAAGGTGAATATATTGGTGAAGGGAATTGTCTTGTTCATCACCCCCCCCCCCCGTATTCTTTATTGCACTATACAGTCAGTTCTTGAAAACATACTGCCGACTTGAGGTCGGATACTATTAAAGAAGTTATAACATCAAGAACCCGGTCACTGGCCCATAGTGGTCGTAACACGTGCACATTTATAACACACACAGACCCCCAGACTGAAGTACGCACAACAAACACTCAAATACACAGAACAGAAAAAGCACAGCACTAAATCAGTACATGAAACAATTAAACTTGGAAACCACTCAAAAACATGGATTTATCCGATCTCGCTCGTCAGTAGCACAGACGTCCATAATCTCACAACCTTACGTTGTGGCTGCGGCTCTTAGCTGGTTATAGGAAGCTCTGATGGTATATTTTTGTTATTGATACCAAGTCTGTGATACGCGGGCAATTTCATTATGTGTGCGAACAATGTCTTTTTGCAACCTTAAAGTTTGTAGGAACTACCTGAAACGGTTTTCATTATTGTATCGCAAGTGTGGAAAAGTTGATGGACAGTTTATCGACTGACATCACGTATGACTAGCAAATCACAAAATAACACATTACGTTATTATAATATATTAAGTAAATTACGGTAAAAACTAATGTATTGATATCCAAGTAAGGTGTCTCATGTCCCAAGGACGTGCACACAAGAGACACCTTACTGCAAAACCAACCAGTTGGTGGAACTGGACCCACAATCCAGAGTACATCATCTGGGAGAGGGGCGACGGGTGCTTGGGAGTTTGGGTTTCAGGAGAAAAAATGAAAATACATTGGTTCAGGGCCATAGGTCAGGGCAAGTATACGTTAAAACTTTATCTGGTTAATGGATCATTGTTGTTTATAATTTTACGAGGGAACTGAAACAAATCATCACGCAACAAAACTGGTACACCTAATACAGAGTGGCGACGTTGTTATATTAGCCGGGAAAATACAGCCCACTTTCTGAGCTCTCATTCATTCTACACGAACACATATCCTCCTAACCTAACCAATATTGCACCGCTCTCTGAGTAGTCATTCAATCTCATCTCCTGGCGCAACAGCCCCAAATTATTGCAATAATGATGATAAAGGCAGGAAATTTAATAAGGAACGCAATCTCCTTAACAGAATTACTGTCTGGAATTAAAGAAAGTCTAGAAGGAGGAGGGACTCGAGAGCAAGAGCTATACTGAGGAGTCAAGTAATAACGGTGACAAGGAGACGAACCCAACCAGACTACATAACATGACAACAGTACTGACCACAGCGATAACATACCACCCCAGTGGTACGGTGATAGGGAAGATGGTTACGGATGGGAAACGTGGTAATGGGTAGGGAATGTGGGGAAAAATGTAGGGATGGTGGGGGAAAGTTAAGGACGGTACTGAAAGATAGGATGATGGTAAAGAGCTTGAAAGGTGATGAAGGGTAGGGAAGGTGGTGATGGGTTGGGAAGGTAGTGAAGGGTACCAAATAGTACCTTCTGAATGGTATGGAAAGTAAAGTGGTGAAGGGTAGGGAAAGTGGACAGGTTCGGCGTGATGTCGTCCCCTTATGTTGACTACCAGTTGAGCCTAACATTACAAAACATCTACTTAACTATGTTTAGATCAGCAGACTATCCGCCTTGTTCCAACGTCCACAAGCCTCTGGAGTTCCCTCTGGGATCCAGCCCGGCCTCTCAACATCATCATGGTTCCCAACATTACATAATTCTCCACCTAATGAAATATTCACTTTATATACAGATGATCAAACGTCACCCATAATAACATACATAAAGTTTTAATTATCTGACAATTAATTCTTCAAATAAGTCAGTAATACAAGGACGTGTATAGTACACTCCCATAGCATCATCTCCAGGTGGCAGTTCTGATCATCCTTCAAGCATGTGGTACTGTGATTCCCACTCTCGTCCAGGTCTTGTCCACCACACGTCAGTACGAACATATCAAATAAATCTCTAAACTCTCTCAAACAATTCATGCATATAAATCCATCAAATAGAGATACCAGATTATATCATAACTGATAAGTTATAAGGCTTATCAAATGAACACCTGTACAGCACTGTGATCCCACCACAATTTAACACACAGATCAACTTGAATTGTTCAATACATCGGCTGTAAACCATGAACCTGGAGAGGAAAATTTATATACTTCTACATAGTTATGATTTAGTGAAATTACTGCGGCATAACACTTGTTTCTGTTGAGTGCGTTATGACGCACCTTGCTTCTGATGAGTGCGTTATGACGCACCTTGCTTCTGATGAGTGCGTTATGACGCACCTTGCTTCTGATGAGTGCGTTATGACGCACCTTGCTTCTGATGAGTGCGTTATGACGCACCTTGCTTCTGATGAGTGCGTTATGACGCACCTTGCTTCTGATGAGTGCGTTATGACGCACCTTGCTTCTGATGAGTGCGTTATGACGCACCTTGCTTCTGATGAGTGCGTTATGACGCACCTTGCTTCTGATGAGTGCGTTATGACGCACCTTGCTTCTGATGAGTGTTGTAGCCCAACTTGTTTCTGATGAGTTGTAACACAACTTGCTTCTGATGAGAGAATTGTGACGGAACTTGCTTTTGACGAGAAAGTTATAACGCACTTGCTTTTTTGAAGACAGTGTTGTGATGTCCTTTATGAGATCACTGAGGCTCGCCTGCCATCTGATGAGAGAGATGTGAGGCACCTTACGTTTGCTGTGAGGGTGTGACGGACGCTGCGTCTTCCGACTGTGTTGTGTCGACCAATAGTATCACATATTGTCATATGTATGGCAATAGTGTCAAATTTCTGTCACATATTGTATTAATAAATACGCATTCCAGCACATTTATCTTGGCTTATAACTGCACAAACTTGCATATGTTGGTCTATAGTGGCACATACTTGCACATATTCGCCCTTAATGACACATGCTGGAATATGTTGGACCATGTTGCATGTTAATATATGTTGACTCATAGTGGCACATGGTTGCACATACTGGAAAAACTGGCCTTTTTTGCTTACATATTGGCATATATAGACAAACAAATTGTCACATAGTGACACATTGGTTCAGTCATTACTGTTACCCGCTCTGTCCCACACATACCAAGCTGGAAAATGTCAGCTGCGAGAGAAAAGGTGAAAAATACAGTGAACAAAACGTTATTGATTCACAATTACAAAAAATAAAAACTATACCCTGTCCATTAGTTTCCTTTCACACTTCCTGACTTTTATCCTAAAGACTCTCTGTGTTCTGAATACTTTTCTTTAATTTTTTCTTGCCATCTCCTCACAGACTTGGCAAGTTTCTGCTTAACTAACCTGTCACATAAATATGAGTTCTTTGTTATTCATGTCTACCTCTCTCTCTCTCTCTCTCTCTCTCTCTCTCTCTCTCTCTCTCTCTCTCTCTCTCTCTCTCTCCATATAGGTTCATACTAGACCATACTTGTATTAATTGGCAGACACTGGCGTACACATAAGCTTGCATCACATCTCGATGGGTACTGCCATATTGGAACAGATTCGTATTTGATTTCTATTGACTCAAGATAATGACTTACAAAGTAGACAACGAAGCAATTTTTAAAGCTGGGAACAGAAGAACGAGGAGGCAAAGGTTGAAACTGGAGACAAAAATGAGTCTTGGATGTCACACAGAGCTGTGTCAGTGGGTATTACGAACACGACTTGGTGATGGATGCTTACTCAGCATACAACATTATATGTAAATATGATGATAATTTGTATTTCCATTAAATGAAGAACTACCCAGATGATTAGATCCAAGTGAGTACATCGAAGTGAGTACATCGACGTGAGTATATCCTCTTGGGTTCATCCAGGTGAGAATATCTAGACGAGTTCGACTAGTTGAGTACGGATACATACCTACAATTCGAGAACACTGGTCATCTTCCCATGTACGTAACTGACTCTCCACCCATCACGTCACTCAGAGACAGATACGATATAACAAATTTCATGTCACGTGTCGAAACTTTGCGAGCAGACAGCTACTGCTGAGCGCTTGACTTTCATTTCAAAAATCATTCATGATGAATTCTGTAATGAGCGAGGCGCTGTGTACCCTTGTCGCAGATGACCTCTGCTGCAGCAGACTCTCCAGGGGAGCAGAAGCCGGTGCAGCAGACTCTCTAGAAGAGCAGGAGCCGGTGCAGCAGACTCTCCAGGGGAACAGGAGCCGGTGCAGCAGACTCTCCAAGGGAACAGAAGCCGGTGCAGCAGACTCTCTAGAAGAGCAGGAGCCGGTGCAGCAGACTCTCCAGGGGAACAGGAGCCGGTGCAGCAGACTCTCCAAGGGAACAGGAGACGGTGCAGCAGACCCTCTAGAGAAGCAGGAGCCGGTGCAGCAGACTCTCCAGGGATACAGGAGCCGGTGCAGCAGACTCTCCAAGGGAACAGGAGACGGTGCAGCAGACCCTCTAGAGAAGCAGGAGCCGGTGCAGCAGACTCTCCAGGGAAGCAGAAGCCGGTGCAGCAGACTCTCCAGGGATACAGGAGCCGGTGCAGCAGACTCTCCAGGGGAACAGGAGCCGGTGCAGCAGACTCTCCAAGGGAACAGGAGACGGTGCAGCAGACCCTCTAGAGAAGCAGGAGCCGGTGCAGCAGACTCTCCAGGGGAACAGGAGCCGGTGCAGCAGACGCTCCAGAGGAGCAGGAGCTGGTGCAGCAGACTCTCTAGAGGAGCAGGAGCTGGTGCAGCAGACGCTCCAGAAGATTATCGTGGATGGATTTCTGGCATGAGGGATATCAGCAGACACCCGTCACGAGAATGTTTCTGCGAAGTGACGAATGAAAGGAAATAATAAAATATATGACCAAGAGAGATGTTCTCTGTTATGTGAGCGGCTGGCACTGTCCAACTGCCTATCCGTAAAAATACTCTGTATTAAAAGAATGGATTTTAGTTAATATTCATTAATTTGACGTGAAATTCTCTATTAATTGTTTCAAATTGAAATTGGCTGAAGGACGTTAAGAAAAATTTGGGCAATTTCTACGTGGGTTGTTGGATTTTGTTAGTATCTGAAGGTTCATTTAAAAAGGTAATTTAATTTCCATAACCATAAAATAATATTTTAATATGAGAAGCAGTCGATTTTACGACATTTATTATCAAAAGATATTAATTGATTGAGCGATTATTGGTGAAAAAAAAACTTAGTCAAAGAGAAGCAAAATTAAATTAGTTATTATATATATAGAAATGATAACTGATAAAGCAGTTATAACAAGAAAACACTGAATAGTATATGTTTTCCAATAAATGGAATAGGAAGAGAGGAAATCAGTTTAAAAAGTTATGATAGGGGAACGAACTACAGAGCTTCAAGAGTTCACAACTGCTAGAGGAGCTGACGACAAACAAACTTCGCGTTCCTCTGCCTCGTTGTATGGCAATTCTGTACTTCAAATGACAGAGGGTCCACAAGTTCCTGGGTTCGAATCGCCGTTTCTTCCAAGACAAAAGGAAATTTGTTTTCTCAGATATCAACATTTTTGTTTTAAATAATTCTATATTTGTTTTAATGATAAGTTTAAGAATATGGATGGATACCTGCTGCTGGCATCAGCTTGTTCTCTCGTTACTGTTTGCTGCTGCAAAATACCTATAGATTGTTGAGTTCTCGGAAGGGTTCAACTGTTTGGGTTTCAGTTCTATTTTTCGTTTTGGTTGTAATCCCAGTTTTCGTATTTGATCAGTTCCAGGAATCTATGTTTTTGCAGTTCCATTATTTTTTGCCTATTGCCGATTTCGATTTTGATTCATATACTATTGGGTCTCTTGACTGCGATGAATGATGTTTTGAGCTATTTCTCGCACAGGTTCCTGGAGGTTACTCGTGTGTTTGGTGGCTTAACATTATGCCTTTCATGTTTCCCTCTTTCTGTGTTCCGTGGGAGGTAACCTTGGTGTGACGACCCTCCCAAGGTGTTTATTGTCTCAGAGTTCTCATATTGACTCCATCTCTCCGTGGTCTCTTTCATCTAATTCACATTTTTATTTGCTTACGTTTTTTTGAGTTAGAGTTGTTGCTTATTTGCTAATTTGCTCAAGCGTGGTCCGCGCCTCATGACATATTCTATCGTCTCCATTTATACTTATGTTCTTAATCTGTTTTACATTATCTACAAACATTGAAACGATTTTTTTTAATTTTCACTAGGTAATTCATGTACATACTAATAAAAAATTGAACCATTGGTTATTAAACAAAGATTTGCTCCTCAAAATCTCTCGCCAGTTTTTAAATTGAGAATAACATGTCTAATTCCTTAACGAGTATATTTGCAACATATTTAAAAAAATAGTGTATTTTTTCTTTTGCATCCGCAACATAGTTTTTCTTACTTTCTCGTCTTCCAGTCTGTGGAACTGAAGCCTTCGTTTTTGATGTGCACTCTCACGTATTTTCAACTCAAATAAATACTCCCTCCCTCTATAATTCTCTAACCACGTTCTTTCAGCGCAACTGTTATTTTTCTCCCTTTAATATGTATCCTGCTAAGGATATTCAGTTCAGTTTATCTTCCTAAGGACATTCAGTTCAACGCATAATGAATCGCTGTCAGTTCAAAATTATCTTCAGTGTTAGCGACGTTAAAAATGGGCAAGTTGCATTTGGATGCAATTTGTTGGGAACTAAAAAAAAGTTATAAGAAGCAAATTATAATACTTAAAACTGGACATCTGACACGGTATCCATCTCCAGTATCTAAAAGCCGAGCTAATGTCTGTATAAACAAACTTTTGTTTCTGTGCTTATCAAAATACAATTCTGATAAAAAAAATAGTTTAAATCTCCGAGAAAATTACTTTTCTTCAGAGGTTGCTGATAGCGTCCAATAAAACACTCTTTTGCAATTTCTTTCGCGAGCGAGCCTTCAAGCGGCACTCCTGCGCATCACAGAAATTGATTCATAGAGGATCAGAGGGCAGACTTGGCTCGTTATAGCACAGTAGCATCTTTAAGGGATAATTGTGTTGCAATATATATTTATTATACGGTGATGGGGCAATACTTCTTGACATCGTTGTTCACCGTTCACAGTTCTCTAAGAGCGGCCACGGTACATGGCTACTCTCCTCGATGGACACCAAACAAGTATATTTTAAGCGGAAATCTATATGAAAAATTACTGTAAAAAGACCGCGATTTTTTGTGGGTCTTTTCACAGGAGATCACTGGTTCTTATCTGACTGTCGCGAGCCCTTCATTGTCTGGCTATCGTGAGCCCTTCCATGTTTGTCTATCGTGAGATCTTCCTTGTCTGGATATCGTGAGCCATTCCATGTCTGGCTATCGTGAGCCCTTCCTTGTCTGGCTATCGTGAGCCCTTCCTTGTCTGGCTACCGTGAGCCATTCCATGTCTGGCTATCGTGAGCCCTTCCTTGTCTGGCTATCGTGAGCCCTTCCTTGTCTGGCTATCGTGAGCCCTTCCATGTCTGGCTATCGTGAGCCCTTCCATGTCTGGCTATCGCGAGCCCTTCCATGTCTGGTTATCGTGAGCCCTTCCATGTCAGGCTATCGTGAGCCCTTCCATGTCTGGCTATCGTTAGTCATTCCATGTCTGGCTATCGTGAGCCATTCCACGTCTGGCTGTCATGAGGCCTTCCATGTCTGGCTATCATGAGCCCTTCCATGTCTGGCTATCATGAGCCCTTCCTTGTCTGGCAATCGTGAGCCATTCCATGTCTGGTTACCGTGAGTCCTTCCATGTCTGGCTATCGTGAGTCCTTCCATGTTTGGCTATCGTGAGATCTTCCTTGTCTGGATATCGTGAGCCATTCCATGTCTGGCTATCGTGAGCCCTTCCATGTTTGGCTATCGTGAGATCTTCCTTGTCTGGATATCGTGAGCCATTCCATGTCTGGCTATCGTTAGTCATTCCATGTCTGGTTACCGTGAGTCCTTCCA